GCCAAAAATCCTCACTTATTCTAGAGTCTTTGGAAACAATCTCTATCAAACGCCTGAAGCTCGAATTAAGTGTTCAGAAAGAAGCAGTTGTCAGTCTTTCGTTGCACACCTGTACTGGATGCTTTTATTTTCATTTTCATTTGATTACGTCATTTCTATCTTTAACTTCATCCTCACTTTGATATAGTGTAATTTTTGTTTATCTCTTGTTTTCTGTGATTCGAGTTGAACTCAGTATATTGTTATGCTATTTATTAGTTGCTCATTTCTCCTCTTTATTTCATAGCTCCCTCACATTTGTGTACATACACCTACTTTGTTTAAACTTGAAATCTCGGTGCGAAAACTATATAAGGGTAAATTACTGAACACTGTTCACGAATTCCGGAGCTTCCTACCAACTTACATCATGAAAAATATACAAGTATGCGAAAACGTTTCCGGGGATAAACTTAGCATTAAATTAGATTGCAAGCAGCTGATGAAAAGCCGATGAATTAAATGCGAAACCCGTTGTTCTTGCTCTATTCAATACAATTTATTGTAATTCTACATTATTCAAGGGATTCGGAGGTGTTTAACCGAGCTAAAGTTAACTTTAAATAATATGCAACATGTAGAGAGAAGCATCGGGGTCCCTGGTTACAACCATTTTATGAATTACTGCTACTTGGGGAGGATTCCTTTGCGACATTCTACTAATTATTATTATCATTCTTGCGATTGGTATTCATTTTACTAGAGATATAAGTACTATAATTCATTGAGTGATACCGGTTGAGAGAACGTAAGGGATTAGAAAACACTTTCATTCGCTTGATAATTTTTCATCTTATTGGTCAGTGACCACACTAGTTACCGCTTTTGATTGAGAATATCAGGGTATTTCTCCTACGGCTACCAATGATCTACAAATTGATATTCAAAATTTGACCTTGGTTGCAAAATGAATAATTTCAGAGTAGATTCTGTCATAAACTGGAAGAAACCACAAGTGCAAAGTGCTCCATGGTTCTTTCCACTCGTCTTATGTTTCAGCTGGATTTACCTGAGGCTTTTGTGGAGAGATTTCACGAGAACACTGAGTATATTGAATTTACACCCTGACGTACTTCTATTTTTAGATCATAATGACATAAGCTTATGACTTCATTTAATTGTTCAATATGGTATTCATGAGAGTTTTCAAGGAGGAGAAAGAGTTCTATTCATACAGCAAGCAATAAAAATCCAGTTGGTTTAAAACTTAAAACAATTTTTTGACATTCTTCTGCGATGTTTGTACTTTACTTACAAAGTTTTACTCTTCTGCCTTTCTAGAGAAACTTGAGGCTTCAAGCTTGCGCCAAGATGTCTCAGTCGCCGTGGGTTTACCCCTCTGTTACATGAGAGAACTTCTATCTTCACCTTAGCCAAAACTTTCGGTTGAATAATCGAAGCACATTCATGTAGGTATGAGCAGTGATAATAGAGAAACCGTAATTCTGTCCATCAGTAAGCAAGCCTTGTACATATGCTGGTGGAGTGCCAGACATTGGCTAGGGGTCAAGCTATGTCGTGAATTAACAGAAGTTAGAATTCATGGGCCATTGGATCAGGTCCAAGTAACTTACTTGTCTACAAGCTCTCCTTGTAACCAGAAGGTCCTGAGTTCGAACCTCAGTGGGTGCGTACTGATGGAGAGTTCCAAACCAGGATGAAACAGCTGTCCAGTACTCCTAAGTGGTTTTCCAATGTTTCTCTAACCAATGTCAGCTCATGATGAAATCCTGTAATCAATCGAACCAACACTTGAATAAAGATCCAGAAAATGTATACAATTTTTTGACATGGTTCTGTAATGTTTGTACTTTACTTACAAAGTTTTACTTGAATACCAGCGGCTTTATTCAGTTTTTTTCGCAGTACAACCCTGTATATCCTTGTACGCATGTTAATGTTATTATTTATTTCCTCTACCTTCCGGAAGAAAAATGGGGCTTTAAACATGAGCTAAAATGTTTCAGTAGCACTGGTTTTACCTCTCTTCAACGCGATAGGCTTTCCATGCTCACATTAGCCCAACGTTTGGCTAAGTGACTGAAGCACGTTCATATACGTATGGGCTGTGATATCAGAGAAACGATAATCCGGGGAATCACCAGTCGAGCTTTGTACCTCTGCTGGTGGAAGGCTGGACTAGAAATTCAGAGATCACCAGTTCTGACCCTGATGAAACATTGATTACCTCTCTTCTTCACCTGACCATTAGTTAAACTTCAAAAATAAATTGCCCATATTCTAAACAATTTATCGGCGATTGAATTGAGATCAAGGTATTGAATAGAATTTCTTAAATTCTGTTTGTGCATATATTTTAAATAACCGCAACTTATACAAAACGAAACTCTAAGGGGCATCCTAAATACATTCGCCTGACGAATATCGTGAAATCTGTAAAACGAAAATATTCTTCATAAGGAGAAGTGTATTATTGATTGTGGATTCAATTCTGATTGTTCATATTCTAGTTTCTCTTATGATTCATCACCGATACATCTGAAGGAGAAATGTCACTGCCATCGACCTCGTTAGAAAGGCATGTCTGAATCCTTAAGAGGAACTAAAGCCACCTTAGAGATTCATGCATCGATCATTCAGTGCCTCAGTTAGCGACATTGTTGTTTTAACTGATGGTAGAAATACGGATGTACATAAAGGTGATATTTCAATGCCTTCTTTGTTTTCTACCATCTCTCTCCCTCTCTCATAAAAATGCTTCAACTAGACAATTCTGAGTCATTTTTGATTCATTTCGCTATATATTAAATCAGTTCTCAAGGTGTTCTTTCCAAAGTTGCAGTCGTCTTTCTTGGGAGCTAATTATGGTACCATTTTTCTCAGAGATTACTTCACTTACAGTTAGCCTTGTATTACCTGTTTCCCTGATAAGCCTAAATAATTGTCTGATGTTATCAGTCGCCGATACCTCTTCAATCGTCTTCGCTTTTGTCGCCAACCACTGTTCATGGTCGTTATGAAAGCTTCTTGTTATTTACGTTTGAGCAGCTTTCGCTCCTCATGATATTATGAGCTTATCGGAATCCGTATTCATGTGGCATTCAGTTAGGATGAGGGGGTAGAAACCCGATGGCTCTTACTAACTTTAGGTTTCAAATTATTAACAGCTTCTACAGCTGCGTCTACAGCTAACAGTTTTGTTGTGCCAGACCAACTCAAAACGAGTCCAGCTTTCGACCTCAGATACTCGTATCACTATTTCTTCTTTAAGTAGGGATTCATATTCTCGATCTAGTTGAGAACGTAACTGCTTTACTTCCAACAGTTTTTTATGCACGTTTATACGTACACATAAACGTGTGCAAACCAAAACGTAGTCGGAGTCTACGGGGAAAGGAGCGGTTGTCTTCTACTGATTCTCTCCAGCGATACTCTATCGATGTGTACTCTATTTGAGTCCAGCGTTGATTTGATGATAAAGATTGCCAGGTTAGGCAATATCTCCTTTTATGCCTTAAGTTATTACTGGCTGGGAACAGGTGATTTTCTGAACAGAATTGTAGAAAACAATTACTGTTGTCGGTTTTTTAGTAGAGAACTCGGTATGCGCCACCGACATACTTCTCAATGTGGCCTAATTTCCGTATTTGGGTGTTGAATTAGCCTGCTAAAACAACTATATCTGGGTGATTTGCTCTCTGCATCGACTGAAATGCTTAGGAAATGTGTTGCACATGCGTGCCTAATCATTGCCTTCCTTGACAGGAAATGTTATCTGACATAGGATGAGTTTGGAAAAGAGACAGTGGTGATAAAACCAAAACATGGCTTCTTCAGTCACTGAAATCCATAACAGTTAGTTAAAGCCACGTAGGAAGGAGTAGACTTTTTGATTGGGGTCCTTGGGACGGTAAACACCAATGAAGGCTAGTGACATTTGATGGTATGACTCAAAGTCGTTCTCAGTGGCTGACGCAGATGCATCCACTTTTTGTGACTTATAGTATGCAATAAAACTCTAATAGTTTAGGATATTACTATTCTTTTTGCCTCATATCTCTGATTTGCATTTCTTTTTTTACGTTTTTCTCTTGCTTTGTATGCTGCTTGCAGTGTGGCGACTCTAACTACTGGAGAGATTGGTGTAAAATTTTACTTTGAAGCTAATCAGCGCGTCAGTCATTTTACTATATGCAACAAAAGTATTAGAGAAGAGGGATGAATTCATTATACAACTGTCTATTTTAAAAACGTTTTTAATATAATAAAATTAGGTATCACATGGTTAGCTTTGAGTTGGTATTTCGTAACTCTGTTATGTCAATCTAAGTTAAATAGTAAAAGGTTGGTAAGTAGGTAAATGGAAAGTTGATGTATCAAAAAAGATAGTTTCTACGAAATTTGACAACAAATGGCTATCAATTAGTGGAGCGCCAAAACTCAAGGAATAGTGGACAATTTTTCATCTTAGTTCTGGACATCTCAACAGTACATAGCCGTCCCCTTACTGGAAATAGATCCATGGACTTCCACTCAACCAGTGAGATGAAGTTCAATGGTTGGATGAATTCTAACGCCTGCTAATTTGCTATGTATAGCTCAACTACCATCTGTGAATACATTTTTGGACTTCACTCCATCGGTTGAACTTGAAGTAGTCTCAACCTATAACCGTAAGATTCCAGATTTGATCATCTAGGCGCATATTGCTGAGGAAATTCGAATAAGGAAGTGATGAAGAATGGTATTGTCTTCTTCTTCACGAGTAATTCATCAACCCGTAAACTTTGTTTGAAAATCATCAGAGAAAGCGAAGAAAAACATCAGAAAGACGTCTTGTAAACAGTTTACTCTCCTCAGATTATAAGTCCTGCAACTAAGCCGGTCAAAGACTTGTTATTAGCATCAAGTTGATTTGAGAGTGAATAAGGTTAACTAACTAACTAGTAATTATGAAAAGACTGTATGTCATATTTTGTATAGATGTATAATAACCAGATTCATTTAATTTACAGCATTGTACATTGAAATAACTTCAATGAGTTTATGTCAACGAATTACATAGCACACACACACACGTATACAGGTATGTGAAGATAAAAATCAGTTTCAATGAGAATATTTGTAAAACAATTTCACTTTCGTATTAAATAGGTTGTAAAGTGAAAATTGATTAAACCGCCAACACTTTAGCACCGAATAATTCCCTAAAATATGTACAGATATATAAAAGAGGTTTGGGTAAAAAAGAAGTCAAATAAAATATGATCTGAAAAGCTGAAACCATACTGTATTTCCATAAGATTTAAGGCTGTATAAATGCATTAACCGACGGTTTTCCGGACTGTGGTTGACTGAACTATTTGGATAGATTATGCGGAGCACTGGGGACAGGAATATATGGGATTGATAAAAAGCCTCTGGGAGGACTGAAGATCACGAATGATTTTCGTTTGATTTCACATAGACTCAAAGACCAATAGACGAAAATTTACGGGATAGTAGAAGAAGCAACTAAGACTGGACGTCAAGTGAATATGGGGAAGAGAGAAGTGAGGAACATGCCTGACCAACCTGAGCAATAAACAACGATCACTAAATGTCGGAGGAATGCGAAGCGAGTCACGTCCTTCACATATCTGGTCAGAAAGCATCATTTCATTGATAGACGATACGATTGAATAAGTCAAAGCCAGATTAAGTAAAGTAAGACAGACCTTCATCACTCTGAAATCTCTGTGGAAATCTTCTGCACTCAGCAGACGGTAAAAAATCTGGATCTTTTTGATACTACAATGAAATCCGTCCTTTTGTCTGGCTTACAGACTCCTATCACGCGTTTCCTTCAAAGGCTTTCCAGTTGGCGTCAGACATTCACCAAACACCATATTTTCTCCGTTCTGATGATCAGATGGCCAGAAAGGATGATCAGCAGGCAACGGTTGGAACAAAGCTATCAAGAACCCGCTGCTCAACAAATATGCTAAAGAAAACGCAGATGGATGGACACATGTTGAGAAGGCCATTGAGTGACATCGTGTAACACTTCCTTTGACTGAAAAATGAAACAATAAGTTGAGCTTCCAAGAATGACATGGAAAATACGGTGTTGGAAGGAGATGAAGGCCTTTTGACGGTCGTGGAGACTGTCAAAAAGGATGACAGAATAATTTGACATGTATGTCAGTTATTTCTGATAAGCCCTAATAAAGGTGGGGGAATCGTAATCAACACCTGTGAGAACTGCGGCGGTAAAGTACAAACCGTCGCACCTGATGAATCCAAAATTATAAAACTGAGCACAAAAAAGAATTCGATGGAGCAAATTGAACAAAAGTTAATATCCTCTGAAAGCTGTAGACTAAATCACGCATTGAAACTCAGATATTCAAATTCGCGAGATAATCTGGTTGCCTAGAAAGTATCATCACAACATCCACAAAGCCAACAAATAAAAAATGTAAAAACGCTCAGCCACTAGGAAACTTTTTCGTTTGAATTTGCAATTTAATGGAGACACATCATCAGAAAAACAGAAAAACCGCCTATCTTGAACTTTGGAGAAGATCATCACAGGTGAACGTCTACTCACTTTGTCTACAAAACCAATGATTCGAATGAACACACTGGTGACACTAATGTGTATCGATTGATTTATCTGCTCTTGCGGAATCAGGCGTATCGACAGTAATCGGCGCTTGTTCTCGAAATATATCGTCGAAAATCTAGCTTCATGCTTTTGTAAAGGTGAAAAAGGTCTATGGCCAATGCGGAAACTCGAAAAGCTGCTTCAGAGTCATCAACAACCTTCAGGAGGCATGACAGTTCACATGTTAACTTCAGTGGACCTAATTTGCCGTAACAGTGAATGAGGAAATTTTGATAGTGCCAGTGATTTGGCTTTTTAATTGTACCATTTTTCTCCACCATCCACTATTACATCTCTATTACCTGGAGATGCTGACCATGACTCTATTTCAATTTTAATTGAGTTCTGTTCAAACTCATCAATTACAATGAGTTGAGTAACTTACTTAATAAAACTAATTTTCAGTCTCTACTTGGTTAATGCTTTCTGCGGTACCTATACTTCCTGTGAAACATCTTTAAAAAGATTCTGTTTTGGTGGAGGGTGATTACTATCAGTGAAATCTATTGGTATTCACCTTAAGGATAAATCATTTTTAATGAAGAAACGTTGTTGCTATTAATCCCTTTTGACTCCAAATAGAATATAGGGCTTCGCCAGGACATTTCCGCTTTTCTCTCATTTCTGCCGGCTTCTTCAACTGGGTCCACGATTGCACTTAATCCCATATTTCCTCCTCCTCAGAATACAATCTCTTTCATGTCATCCTCGCTCCAAAAACCTACTCGTCGCTTCCCATCGAGATTCCACTCAAGCGATAGTCTTTATTGCATGCTATGTTATTTGACGGTCTTCTCAATGTATGCCTCATCCATCTTCATTTTTTCTCACATGTTTTCTGAGCAATCAGCTCTTGTTTGGTCTGTTACCAGCCAGAGTTTCTTGTTACTCACTCTTTCTGGGCATTTGATCTTCAGTATGAAGACAGAGAAGTTAGCAGCTGTTGATAAGAGTCTTTAACTTGTTGAAAATCCTTTTTGTGACAAGCGGTGCATTTTTATGACCCCTTTTGGAGAAGAAATGACTGACTCCACATTGGTGTTGAAAATCCAAGTCTTGTTCATTATGAGAGATAGTCAATCTCTCCAGATTTTAGAAATAGGCTAAAACATTATTGATTGCTGTGATATGTTTATAGGGTTCTTAAGTATCTTTAAATATGATTGTACTTTAACCAGTTCGTTTGAGATCTAATCACAACAGTTTCCAGTGATCGACCATCATAACTGTGTAGATATCTGATAATTCTAGAATCTCGAAGGAGGAACTGTCGAGGTCTTTCTTAGAATGGAAGTTATGTTTTACAGTAAAATTGTCTATATTTCAGTAGTCTCAGAAGAAACTTCAGAACAAGTTTAATTACAAATTTACTTCAGGTTAATAATAGTTCTTACCATAGTTTGCCAAACATGCTGAAATGGAGAAAAAGTCTTTTTAGTTTAATCAACACGTAAAATAAAGTTCCTTCCATAATACTACTCGATGCAACATGATTCGAGAAGTTCTAAAGCACGTTTCTGTGATGGATATCTTAAGCTGTTACTTTAGCTAACAAATCAAAGCATTTAAAGAACACTTGACGGGCTCTAACACGTATCGAAGCAACCAAATGCAGGCCATTACTTCATTTTTCATGATCGAATTTACTTCTCGATCGCTATGACCTCAGCTTCTCTGATTAACTTTAAATAATGACAGAAACTGAAAACGTTTGACATTTGTACGATGCCCAATATATATTATTATTTCCTTTGTTCCAAGAGGAACATAGGGCTTCAGCCGCCCGTCTTCACTGCTCCTGGTTCGCTGTTAACATTTTCACCTGGCTTCAAGTCTTCCAGCATGCTTTCATCTCCTCTTCCCATGATCTCCTCCATGTCACCCTGGAACTGACGACCAACTCTCCACTCCCCGTTCAGGTTCCGCTTCAGAGCTCGTCTAATGATGTCACTTGATGGTGTCCTCAGAGAATGGCCAGCCAAACCACCTCCATTTCTTCCTGCTTATTTTTTACACAATCGGTTCAATCTGGGTTGCCTCTCTTCGAGAGATCCTTGTTGCTGACCGTTTCTCACCATCTGATCTTGATTATTGAGCAAAGACATCTAGCTGTTGATGAAGGTCTGTAGTTTGTTTGAGGTTCTCTTTATGACATACCAAGTCTCTGATCCGTATAGTAGCACTGACTGAATTCACATTGGAGCTGAAAATCGGGATCTTATTTTTCATTCCGAGTGCTGTTGACTTTCACGCAGATTTGAGAGAAATGAAAGTTTTTCTTGCCTTACCGATCCTTGCTTTGATTTCCTCGTCAGTTCAACCTGTAGTTGGAACGATGCTTCTCAGGTAGGTAGGTGAAGGAGGTTGTTTCTTTCAAGTTCCTCCCATTTATGCTGAATTGTGTCTGTTGTTTTTGCCCAGGAATATTCAGCACCTCTGTTTTCTCTGTGTTTACCTGAAATCCTATCTTCTCTGGATGCTTCTTCTGTCGCCAACTTGTTGCTTTTCATTTGCATATCTTCCAGTTTGTGGGAATTCCTACATATATCATCGGCGAAGTACAGATCCCCCAAGTTTTGCTCAGTATATATATGATCATTTTCCCTATGTTCAGGCATCCTGTTGAATATCTCTTTGGTGCTAAATAAGTGATGCATTCTAGGTTTATGATTCACTGTGAACATCATCAATCGTAGGGGAATTGAGGTACATTTTTGATGTACGTGTCAAAATGACAGAAAAGTGTATCCGAGATCCCGATGTCAGTCTTTATCAAGCAAATAACAGTAGATAAATCGCTATTCACTAAATATAGAACTAGAATCTGGAGTTATTGTTTCTTTAAAAAATCCAGTTATTTTGTGAATAAAGTTTAACATACTAAGTACTTTTCTTTTAAATTGACTTACCATACAAATTCCGTTATTTTCCTGTGTAGTGATAAAGCAGTAAAGATGAATAGTATTCAGGATAGATTATAAGTGAATTTATTCCCCAAAAATATTTTAAGATAGGATTATGTATTCAATTGGTGGATGGTGTCAACCTGAGACCGAGCGCTTCGGTCCAAACAATCGACGGGAAAATCAAAAATTCAATTCAAGGATTATGTATTGTTTAATAAATCGACGTATGTATGTCAGAATGGGCAATATCTGAGGCTTCCTCTTCTTCAATAGAGAATTATATACTAAACTAATGAGACAGTGCTGGTCCCTTTTTCTTATAATTAAATTTAAATTGTAGCTGCAATCATGGAGAAGAATGTCAGGTGTGTTTTACCTTCAGGAGAATAACTGTGTCTGCATTTTGATCATTCCTGGTTAACAGTGGATTTCAGCGTACGCATTTCGTCATATTTGGGACTCATCATCTGGGTCTACCTACAGTCTCAGAGAGTGATGCTGTTCCCACTACGTTTCAAATCTTGAAGTAGTGTTTTCAAACAGGACTAGACGTACACGCTAGACCCTATCGGTAATCAACACAAGCCAATGTACTAGTATTATTGTTCCAAATGAAATACAAGGCTTCAACAGAACAATTCCACTTTGTTACATTCTCCACAGTCCACTTTAGCTGGCACAGTTTCCTCCATGTTACTCTCGGATCTATGCACAAATCCTCGTTTCCCATTCGGCTCTCACCTGAGTGATGGCCTGTTACACGATGCCACTCGACAGTCTCGACAGCGTATGTTGCATCCATCTTTTATTTTCTTAGGGATACTTGTTGAGCAATAGGTTCTCGCGTGTTCCCAGAGTCTTCATGTTAGTAATTCTTTATAGCAATTTGACATTCAGTCACAAAAGAAAGATGATGATAAGTGTCTGTGGTATCCTGTTGGAGATGCCTTTTTTGACGTGGGCACCAAGTTTCTGACACATATAAAAGAACTAATTGACTTGAAATTGGTGTTGAAAAGCATTTTATATTGCAAAACCGGTAGAAGTTATAAATCATGAGCCACTGAATCGGGTCCTGAAGGCTGAATGGTCTACGAGCTCGCCTTACAATTGGAAGATCTTGGGCCTGAAACCAGCGGTGTGGATGCGTGCTGATGGCAAGTCTTAAACTAGGACTAACCAGCTTTCCGGTACTCACACTTTTACCAACGGTTCTCTAACTGATGAAATGCTAAAATAAATATGCCTGTATACAGATGATAAGTTGTCACATAGGTAAAGTCTGTTCGGTAACCTATGGCTTGATGATTATTTTTTATTTTCTGAGTGTAAAACAGTTCAATACTACCAGCTATTTAATAAAGAGTGATTATATCAGTCGTTTCAAATTTCAAAAAGGTAGGGTTCCAGTGTGAATGTATTAACGGATGAAAAAGTATCAGGTTAATTTGAATATAGGTGTGGACGCACATACATATGCAGGGCTCATCGACCTCTGCAAGTAAGAGTTAGCTCCAGAGAATTTTTCTATGTGGTTCCAGAACCAAATAGAATTCCAAAAACATATTAATGGTGAGAACAGGAGACCTAGCTCCTATGCTGCGAAACATATTATAGAAATATGACATAAAATTGAAGTTAACACATCTTTTAAACCTATCTATAAAGCGTGTTTAGGGCGTATCCCGCAGTTTGTGGAAGCCCTAGCAATTAGAGAGTTTAAACCACCTTTATATGTTCAAAGCAACAATTCGTCATCACACTAAACTTTCCTTGGTAAACTCTATTTTGTTGCCATACCAGATGTACTATTACCTCTTTTATTTGGTATAGTGATCTTCATTGTTATTTTCACCTAACTTGTCTATTTTCTCACCTCTTAACTCTTTATTAATTTCACATATAAGTTCCTATGACAGTAACGTGGAGTGTGATCAGATTGTTCGAAGTGTGTCGCTCAAAAAACATTGCACTCACGATTCAGACAGACAAATTACGTCTTCTTATCGCTTTGTCTGAATTCACAAAGGGAAGTAACTGTTTTAAAACTTTTTAATTCGTAAATTAAATATGGCGCGAAAAAGTTTGTTTTCACTTACAATAAAATTTGAAGCACTTTCCTATATATAAACAAATATAATAATAATAATGGTGGTGGTAATAATAAAACTATCCTTATAATATACTTAGAACAAATATAATTGTTGCACTGTAAGTTAATCATCATCATCATCATCATCATGTGCGTTGGTGGCACAGCGGTTAAGACGCTCGCTGACCATGCACACATGGTTCGGGATTCGATCCCCGGCCACTGACTCACTCCTTTACCTAGCTAGGCCAGAAATCATGCTGGTAAAGAGGAAAGGTTGGGCATGATGCTAGTAACGCCATCCTGTAAGAATAAACACTGCTACAGAAACTTCAAGCCACTAGCTTGAAGTCCTATGTTCCACTGGGAACGTGAAGGAAAAAAAAGAAAAAAGGTTAATCATCCATACTGAAGCATTACACTAAATTCGTTTGGAAGAGTAATCCACTCACAGATCTCATGCAACCTCTATCGACAGTAAGGCGGTGCCTTAACTGGTTAACACACATTTTAAAATTACGTCGCGTTTTACAGTTATGACTGGACACTGATGACTGCTATCCTCTCACTGTCTAGTGCTTTTTTCTCACCATTGAATCGATAATCACAGGTTTTCTGTTTTGTAGCTATGACGGAGTCTAACAAATGAAATTAATTCCAGCCCCCATGAGACACAACCCGAAATCTAAAGATCAGTGTCTAGCTTAGTGCAGGCTACCGCATGAATGTCCTAAGGTTCTACTGAAAAATAGTGACTAGTTTGACCACCGAGTCAAGACTAAAGTCATTGCTTTAGCTTACAGCTTTGTCTGGAATTGACAAAGTTAAAATTTTTAAGTATTGGTTTGTTGTAGGGATTTTGTTTGATTGCATGGAGGATTTGATCCAGTGGTTCTCTAACTGATGTCAGCTCATGATCAAATCCTCCATGCAATCAAAGTTAAAATTCACGAATCAGTGAATCCCGGCTCAAGAGGCTGAATAATCAGTGAGCTTGGTCTCATAGTCTGAAGGTCTCAGGTTTGTGGGACATAAGTGTGTGCTGCTGAAAAGTGTGTAACTAGGACGAAACGATTTTTCAATACTCCCAGGTTTTCAGTGATCTCTGTTGGTTTGTAACAAAATCAGCAGTCAAAATAATCCGAATCCCCAAAAGATCTGATAATCTAAATTATATAACTATAACTTATTGAGCAATATATAGCAATAGTGAGTGTGAGTTAGAAATAAAATTATATATAATCAAAACAATTAGTCCCCTTGATAATTTTGAATAAGGGATTAGGAAGATAATTTTCGTTAGATGGTGGCGTCATTTTGTAGTTTCTTTACAACCGCTTTACAATTAATATGGTTAACAATAATAAAATAAAGGTCATGACTATTACTCAGTTATATAAAAAACAATAGTACATACTAATGACCAGTCATATTTAGATAGGTCATGTTGTCCAAGGTAGACAATGGAAGATTGAAGTCTATTGATTTTTGTATACACAGTTTAGGTTGTATGTGATTAATCCCCAAATGTGCTTCCATCATCTTCAATAACCAACCTTGAATTAGTGTTATGTGAAATAATTGTGAAAAAGTCATCAATATTGATTTTGTGACTTGACATTATTAAGTGTTTTGCAAAGGATGATGATGGATTTCTATTCAGATTAATCGCGTTGGGATTTTCTATATGATTTACTAGCCATTTTGGAGCAGGTACTTTTCGACGACATTGGAACATTCCATTGTTTCTTTCTATATAGGTGTCACCGCAGCTGCAGGTGAACTTGTAGATACAGTTTAAAGTAGAGTCCACAGAATTTCGTCCTTTAATCGTAGATACAGGGATCAAAAATGTTCGGCAAGCGAGAAAAAGTGATGCGGCGTACAATGAGCGTTTGATGGTTGACCGAAGTCTTTGAGCTGTCAGCTGCATAATCTGGTCGCCCTTGAATGGTAGGTTAATAAAGATGAATCTAAATTTTGTGGACTCTACTTCAAACTGTATCGACAAGTTCACCTGCAGCTGCGGTGACACCTATATAGGTAGAACTAACAGAATGTTCCAATGTCATCGAAAAGAACATGCTCCAAAATGGCTAGTAAATCATATAGAAAATCCCAACGCGATTAATCTGAATAGAAATCCATCATCATCCTTTGCAAAACACTTAATAATGTCAAGTCACAAAATCGATATTAATGACTGTTTCACAATTATTTCACATAACACTAATTCAAGGTTGGTTATTGAAGATGATGGAAGCACATTTGGGGATTAATCACATACAACCTAAACTGTGTATACAAAAATCAATAGACTTCAATCTTCCATTGTCTACCTTGGACAACATGACCTATCTAAATATGACTGGTCATTAGTATGTACTATTGTTTTTTATATAACTGAGTAATAGTCATGACCTTTATTTTATTACTTATTTTTTATTTTACTTTTGATTACAGCTTGATTCCACACTGTAATTTTGGTACAAGTATGGAATTTTCAGCATGGATATCGGTAGCCCAAATTTTGCACACCGACCATTGATATCAGATGTGCGTCGGTAGGGGATCGAACCTTGGACAATGTGCATAGTTGGCGAAAGTCCTAACCACTGTGCCACCGAAGCACATGTTAAGTGTAAAACGGTTGTAGAGAAACTATGAAATGATGCATCATCTCGCGAAATTTGTCTTCTTAACGCCTTATTCGAATATATGTAATCACCAAAAGTATGGGTTTCAAAAGAATGAGTGCATTTGGTAATGCGGGAAAGAGAATTTTAATACTACAGAGGAATGAATCAACAAATAGGATAGACTGAACTTAAAGTGAAGTGTGACAAATTACAAGAATAATGATAGTAAAATAATAACGATGGTCTCTTTTAAACTGGCCGACTAACTGACTGGTTTCAATGTAGAACATTTGAAGTAGCTCGAGTTGACACATTCCGTATAGCACACAAAGTAAGAGAAGCGAGTAGAAGGAGGTTCTGCAGACAGATAATAAAGCACATTGTGAGAGCAGTAATATGGAAGAGCGACAGAGGTTTATCGGGTATGATAAATCACAAAGAGCAGTGAATGTATCTGCTGAGCCAACGATTTTGAGCTATATCACCGATTACCTCCCACCTTCATTGTTTCTTACCATCAAGAGGACTCCCCAAACAGTCAGAAAGTGTACGCCCCCCTACGTGATTGGCTGGCTTAAAATAACTGTTGTGCATTTCAATGTCTGATGGAGCCATGTTTTTGTTTCACTACCAATGACTTGTCTCCAGACTAGTTCTATATCAGCTAACATTGGCTGTCGAGGAAGGCGATGACTAGGGTAGGCATACGTAACACATATTTTTTAACTGTCTCAATCAGTAAGGCTTCTTAACAACCTCGTCGACTAATTTGCTCTTCAACTCACCTAGAACTTGACCGATGCCTATCCTCAACCTAACAAAGAGGGACGGAACGCAGAGACATATGATTACAGATAGCTAGCCAGGCTTTTCATGTCTACCACTTTTAATGGCCGGGTTTCACAGTCATAAAGGAGGACAGAGAGGACTGATGGGCAGTATACACGCAATTCGGTTGACAGTCAGCCAAGTATCATTTCTGATAAGACAGAGATAGCTTAAGTTGGCAAATGTTAAACGGGCCTTGTGTACCCGTGGCGAGATTTTGTCAACGAAGAAACCTGCAAGGACTGAGTGATGCAGATCACCAAATAAGTGAAGTGCTCGACACGCTTTAACACCTTACCCCCTATCTTTAAGCTGAGAGTCGGTGGAGTCGTGTCCTGTAGCGTCATCTTACACTTGGTGGGGGAGAATCACATTCCAAAGACTCGAAGACTGCTGCTGCTCACGGTGTTCAGAGGACTCTATATTTGGTCAGCCTCTTCACCTAAGAGTGAGGGCTATGTCATCCGCATACAGGATTACGAACGAGATCATGCCCCACGAACAAATTAGTCTCAGAGTTATTGAAGTAGGTTAGGGTTCCAGAGGGGCTATAGTCTACTACTGCCTCTTTTACACGACAGTCCATCGCCATGTGGTCTTTTTAAGTCCCAGGTTGACTTGATGATGGAGGTCGCCAGGTTAGGCAATGTCTCTCTTTGTGCCTAGATTGAGAACTGATTAAGAACAGTTGACTATATCAACAGAACTGTAGAAGACGATCACTGCTGTCAGTTTGTCGGAACAGAACTCTGTACGTACTACCGATATACCTATCAGTCTGGCATAACTCCTCTATTTGGGCAGTAAAATCCCCTTCTAAAACAATCATGTCGGAACATTTTGTTTTTTTACAGTAAACCAGACAGTTTTTGTAGATGTCGTGTAGACACGTAAAAATATTATTATTGGACAACCATTAGGTTATAAAGAATTTAAAAGAGTTTAATGAAAAGGACTGTGTGGGTACTGAAAATTCTTCAATTAAACTTCAGCAGGTATCCTCATTGATTATATTAATGATAAAAATCGTAATCACTTTTTTCCTACTCCATCACAGTTGCTATGCTTACAAATAAAACTACGAAATCTACAGTTGTAGCTAACTAATTCAATGAAGTTGAACCCAACGATCGAACTTTACGGTGACATGGGATAGAAAACGTGAAGGAGAAATAAAAGCTCATGGACAATTCATGAAGGTATTCTGAAATGACTTCAACAAACTAAATGGCGTGGAGAGTTGCTGCTGAACCCTCTTATTTCAACGAGAACACTCCATAACCAAAATTCCATGGCAATAGGCAGAATCTATGCGAGAAATGTTCGATTATTCAAAAATTTACAGTGAGAAAGACGTCAACTCACTTCCAAGCTTCATCAAAACGATGATGCCTAAATATTGGCAAATAGTTGGTTCATCAATTAGTAAATAGAGACACAGGGATTATTAAATAGTATGAATTCATTTTATCAAACCTTTACACACTTACTCATTGAAATGATTGTTTGGTTCGATAGTGAGTCAGAGAAGGATTGAGAAGACCCCAGTGAATAGTGCTCCCACTGACAGTGCAACCCAGAAACTACTTTCAAAAAACGCTAAAAAACGTTATAGCCAAGTGTTATAAATCTTAGTCATTCAAAGCGTTGATCGCAGGAGATGAATTTCAATGGGAAAATTAAAGCTCACTAGGATACAAGCATAAGCAGATGACGAATCCCGTTAACAGTTGAAACTTATGATTGAAACTGAATTCCACTATCAGTTGTGATTGATCAAGAAATCAACACCTTGTTAAGCTGAACACACCGTCGAAGCGTCAGTCATTTTACTAGGCAGGGTAGTAACAAAAGTCCTGGATAGGTAGTCATAATCATACTTGATTACATTACACAGGAGGAGTTACACTTTTATAGCAAGAGAAATAATTTAAAAAATGAGTTGTAATCATAATGAACACTGAAACTCAGGAAGATGTGTCGTATTATTTAAGAGGTGAGGAGAAAACCAGATTATACAGGGCTGAATGGTAATTGATAAATGAGACATGATACCACGACAAATTCACGATGACCACGGAAGCTATAATTGCAAATAAGTGCAAAAGCCCCTACAGTTGAAAGCGTCTTCTTGTTTATTTGTTACTTGACAACAAAGAACGAATTGAAAACGTCACTCTCATGTCTGTAGTCCACAAGATGCTCTTTTATTGACCTTTAAGGCATTTCGATTTCATCTGTTTTCAGCAAACTTGGTAAATGCTCTATGATGTATGTGAGTAGACAATTGCATTTCTTTATGTCCTATGTGACTACTTCCACAAAAACATAATCGAGTCCGTGTAGGCAGTTTAAAGTATCCATCACTGGAGACTGATAAATTCATTAAATCCTGCCTAATTAACTTTTGTTGTTCATTTTGAAAAAAACGGCAGAAATGTAAAACAGCGTTAACTGCATGATAGCTGGAATTGTTGGATAATTTCCTTTTCGTGTGGAAAACTCCAGTTTGATTTGTCTGAATGGCCAAACCTTCAGCATAGCAAAAGGACATGAAAGAATATTGGTTCTGGCAGGTTGTTCTTCGGTCTGTAGATTCCTTCGAACGGTGAATTTGTCAGTAAAGCATGACTAATGTCGACAAGGTAGCGTTGCCTTTCTACAACCATGCAGAAAAGTGTTCTTGAACTCTCTTTAAATATGATACGTGGATCCACAAAACAAGGTGAATTGATGAATTGGCGCAGAAGTGGTCAGGTTCGAGATTTTATCCTTTGGGGTTCTACAGACCAATGGATGACTGTAGAACACTACTCCTTTCATTGACTATAACTGATGGTTTTGAACTTCTGATAATTTTAAACTGCACCCAAGGTAAGTGGATGACATGTCTATCGTCTGGTATAGGTATGTAAAAACGGCTATCCGACAATTAAATCCACTCTTGAAATAGAAAATGAATTCGGAGTTCCTTTTGTGATCTTACCGGGTAACTGCAACAGCATCATTTGACTTCCCCCTGTGTATTGATTAATACCAATAAGTGCGTTTGTCGCAGTCCACCACTTCTTTTATTATATTGTTTCGTGAATAAGAGAGAGTGAATTGGTGATTTGGTTTTGTTCTCTGAGCTGGTCGATTTAATTAGGAAGCTTTCGTCATCTTTGCAGAAAAACAAACTAAGCAACAACTGCTTTACATCGATGAACACACAGAGACGTAATGTTCAACTTAGATGGAACTCAGTTCAATAATAAGATACATGAATAGATGAAAGGAACACAAACAGGATCACTCATATTAACCACTCATATTAAACCATGATCTACATACATAATTTTGATGATACATTTGTAATAATTAGAAGAAATGATTTAGGATATGCCCAGAAATTAAATAGCAACCTATTTGAATACATTATATCCAGAAAACCCTGTTTCTTAAATATCGTAATCGGGGGACAAACACTGGAAATCTGGAAACACAAGAATGCGGAAAATCTACATAAACACACGCACACATAGATCAAAGACTCAATTGTAAGAACATTAATCCATCGACTCGAAGAAGAAACTGTGTGCAGACATTGTTCAAAAAAGAGTTCAATCATAGCACTGTAGCACTCCACTGTTGAAGGAAAAAGATCAGAAATGTCTACAGATCGTCTTCGAGAAGAGGTAATGCCTACACGATTTCACTGAAAAGACGGATAAACTCAATAAGGCACCTTCAAAAACACAACAAGAAATTTCATCCTATCATATATAAAGAATATTTCTGAAATAACGGCTTCAAAATCCTAAAGCCATTTGAAATGGACACAGCATACAAGTCATTCACTTCAGAATTTTGTGCAGACCAACGAATCTAACAGTAAAAACAAGACAAAATCGAGTCGAAATCTTAGCTATGGAAATAAACGATATGTACTCCTTCATATCGATACGTTTCGACAATTATGGACACCACTTTGTTTGGAGGCAGAGTGTGGACATTTTAAACAGAGGAAACATCGAAATTAATGCCACAGGATTTCTAGCAGCTTGGTACTCAGGTGAACCAGTCAGCAAATAAAACAATACACATCATTGTCGACCAAATTTACCAACTAATAAAACAATATAAATCAAATGACGAGAAAGTTCAAATTCCATTTCAATAAAAATAATGATGAATAGAGACGTAAATTAACAAATATATATCATATATGAAGAATTCATTCGAGTGCATTTCATACTTAAATATCCGCTAAAGTGGTGTTCAGAAGGACAAGGAGAGCTTCGCAATTAAATCAACCAGCTCTGTTCAGAGAACCCAACAGGGTGTTGAATTCACCCATTCAAGTGATAAATCTTCTTCATTATTCCAAAAGGAGATGCCATTCTACAGCTTATAAGTGGAAAATGTGTCCACCGAAAAGAAAAAGCCATTAATCTCTTCACTTACATGAGAATTACATCACGTTGTTTACGCCTGATAAACAATCTATCACAACAGAAGTGCTTAACGCAAAGTTCAGTCAAAAAGCATAGTTAAAACAGCTACAGTCAATAAAGTTTAAAAATAAGAGAGAAGTCTTAACATACTCAGTTTGCTTGCAGCCTTCAGTTACATATTCATCACATCGGTCTAGATTAAAATACATTGAAAATAAATGAAAACAAGCAGAAACACAGTCAGTGTCATACAAATGAAAACAAGAAAATTTAAAACAAGCAAAAAAAATGGGTGAATATATATATAGCAGGATTTAGTGAATTCATCAAACTTCGATAGGCTTCCCAGTGGAGTGTACGGCTTCAACAATAGATCTCCACTTGCTTCCATTTTATGTTGTCCTCTTCAGCCTGAGAGTCAATCGCCTATTATCTTTCATCTCCTCCTCGCCACGTGATCTCCTCTATGTCATCCTCGCTCCAACGACTCATTGGATCGGGATTCCACTCGAGGGCATGACGCTTGATAAAATGCACTACGTAACAATTACATCACTAAGTGAATATATCAAGAATTACGAATTAAACACAGTATAGTATAGTAATGATGTTAAATCCTTTGAAACGTATTCAAATTGAAAGCATTTCAATTCGTATTTGAGTTTTTTTTGTACTGCTTACTATTTGATTTGACAGGTAGACTTGCTTGCAGTAATAGAAATAGTGCAATTAACCATAATTTAATCATTATTCCAGAGTGCTTAAAAATAACAATGGAGCAGCACAACGAATATATATATATATATATATATATATATATATATACTAGACATAATGGTGCTTTTCTCCTAAATCACATGGTGTCTTCGAATCATAAGACAGTTTGCCTAGAAATATACAGTCTTTTGTGCTATTATGGCAGCACTTACGATACGCCGCCTTTCAAAAACGATAATGCCTTTACATATATATATATATATATATATACATATATCTATGTATGGCACAGACGTGCAAAAAGCAGCTCCTACATAACGTCTCTTTTTACAGAATAACAGGGGGTTACTCGAAGAAAATGTCATTTAAAAAGTTGAAGAATTACCAACTGGTTCAGTAAATCAATCAATAAATGATGTGCAAAACTAACTACACGATTGTTTCCAGCATACAAAGATTAGGCTTATTACGAGTAACAAGTGACAATTGATATTAGAAGCCTAAAAATGGTTTAGACACAGAAGGAGAGAGAGAGAAAGACGTGAGCCATTTTTTCATGCCAATAACACATAAAGTAGCACCTAATATGAAACATGATTTAAATGTTGCTATAATATACGATATGATTATTGAGAAGGGCTGTAACATTAATTGAACAGTTCATTGTTTCAAAGATGATTAAAATTAGCGTTTCTCAGTCAGATAAGGGTGTGAAATATCTAAACCGCATAGATTCTGAACCGATCCCTGGTTTTAGAAGATTTATTCTTATAATAAGTACAATATGCCCTGCAACCGACGCAAAACAATAGAAAACGGTTGGGGAACACGATTATTTATACTTCAAACAAAGCTGAAACAGATTTACAAGGGTTAATCAGTACTAAAGTTTGTAAATAGGCGTTAATATAATAAACAACAATATTTTTTATCGTAGTTCTCCAATCGTCTGCCAACTAGTTCACACTAAAGCAGTGACAGCCTTCTTGTTGCCCGCCAATGGACATCAGCTCACATAAACATACTATTCTATCCTAATCAACATTGACAAGGGGTTTGCAGAAGTCAAAAAGTTAAGATCTCGTATCTGACCAAATCTATGAAGTTAAGTCAGTTCAACTTTTTTTTTTTTACAAAACTTGATACTTTTAGTCGTTCGACAAGTATTCTGTATAAATAGGATCTGGAACACTATCCCACGCGGTTGTAGAAGAGTGAAAGCGGCTGTATAAGTAGTGTGATAGCTAAAAAACTTATCATTTCATCTCAACAAATTTATCCCCCCAAAAAATTTAAAGATTGAGGAACACTCTGCCACTGCTTATACGCTTTTGTAGACTGTGTGCTACTGAAGCTTAAGCGACACATATAGAGAAGCCAGAGCTGTGTACAGTTGAATGACAAATGACATTAGTTTTGTTAAATATGCTGACGACCTGAATGCATATTCGCCTACCTGACTGCTCCAAACTAAATGGTTTTTTATCAGAAATCAGCCAGTGGTCCAAGGAAAACAGTCTAACCTTAAATCCCTCTAAATGTCAAACAGTCAATTTCACCTTTAGGCATAAATCTGACCTGGTTAGCCCTCACGAGGTGTGAAACATAGATGGCACTGAAATAGAAACCAAGTCGGAAATTAAATACCTACCTAGGCGTCATTCTATTTGCTGATCTTTCCTGGTCGTCTCATATCTTGATGATTTCTAAGAAAATATTCCGTCTTACCTTCTACATCAACAAGTTAAGACATTCCGGAATAACCCAACCGTTACTCCTACGATTCGTTAAATCTTGCATCCTGCCAGTTATTTTCTATTGCTCCGCTTTAGTTTTTCAAGGTCTACTGAAGAAAGACTATGCCTTATTACGCAGGATGTTAAAGGTTGTTATCAGGGTAAACAATGTGCCACTTAATCAGCTTGTTAGTATTCTGGTCGAAAGGCACTTGGACTCATGTGAAAAATAGGCTAAATCCATTCTATCTAACTCTCACCACCCTCTTCATTCACAACTCTCCCCTTGTATCTGTCTCATCAGGCAGAATCAGAAGCCTATATAACAAAGTATATGCTCGTTCTAGCAAGTACAAAAGATCAACCATATCCTACTTGGCTCGTGTTCTGTGCGATAAAGAAAGTGTGTCGGTGGCACAGTGGTTAGGACTCTCGCCGACCATGCACATGGTCTGAGGTTCGAGCCCACGCCGGCGCACACCTGATATCTATGGTCGGCCTGCAAAATTTGGGCTACCGATATCCATGCTGAAAATTCCATACTTGTACCAAAAATACAGTGTGGAATCAAGCTGTAAATCCAAAAAAAAATTAGTCGTGAAAGCTATGACTTATTAAATAGTCAGTAGAATAATTGGATCTCATCTTTCTAACTCATATCACTTATAGACACAACTTTTTCTTTCTTTCGTTTCCTTTTTTGTTATGTGCTATTTTGTTTCTTTCTTCCTTACAAACTCTATTTAAAACAATCTTCTTCTTTCTTCCACACTCTGTATATCTCGAACGCTTTGTTACAGCTTACGCCAGCCAATATGCTAGCATCTACTTCTCTAACACTTTCGAAGACTCTGTTCAATTTCGGCTTTGCTAACGACATGCCAATATGTTGTTGTCAAAACTAACTGAGATTACATTTAATCTATGTAGAATTTTATTTTATTGTTAATTTACTAACTGGATGCAATACTGTAGTAAAAGGCTGGAAATTACATTCTGTATCACAAGTACTGTTTTGGAATAAAGCAAATTATTATTATTACAGCTACACAGACTGTACAGTTAAGCGTGTTTCTCGTCAGATTACCCAACATCACCCTATGTGGCTTAGTAAAGGACAAACAAAATTTATTAGTAGCGCTATTCCATCTCATCTTGTAGATAAAGAACACGAGAACAATGTCAACAAGGCGGCTTTCAAAGTCATTTACCACATGCCAAGAAATCTTATCTTCACCTTTAATACCTAACTTATGTGTTCAAAAGAAGCTGGTTTAAACATTGTCCTTACTCCAGTGGCCATCAAGGTTCTCATGATCCTCAATTTGTTGTAGGGCTTTCTGTAATTTTATTGGTTATTCTTTTAGCTATTATCAAATTTTCTATGTATAAAATGTTGTATATATAAATCAAGAGCCAGAAGAGAAAATTATCGAAAAGGCTATTCAATGTTCAATTAGTTAGTTTTTTATCGAAAATTGTCTATAAATCTTGATCATTATAGTGATAACCTCGTTTCTGCTTTGTACCAAGTTGATCTTTTTTGTTTGGATCACATTTTTATACATCGTATTGTCTAGCTTGTTGCGTAACAATTACATCACTATTCAGTTCTATGAACTTAGCATTATTAACGAGTATGATTACGACAGGTCACAGATTTTGTCACCATCGGCTTTTGTGAATAAAGGGACTAGACATAAACGTAATTGTAGAGCCTGTGAATAAATTAATGTATTCGAAGTCTATCGTGTCCGGAGCAGTTTAAGAATAATATTTTACCTGGGTTTTCAGGAGCAAATCAGTGTTCCCATAAAGAATGCGGTGATTAAACACCACGATGACACTGGCCACTTAGATATCAACAAAATCTATGAAATTAGGAGCAAACTGCATTGCTAAAATTCTAAAATTCTAGGTGGAGAAATCGGGGCATTAATGAATCACTTCTACTATCATGGAACTGACTGTTTTGTTGTAAACCTTTTCCATAACTTTCCTAACTCTATTCATTCGAATTTTTAATTAAAGACAGAGATCATATGAACTGTGTTCAAGATTTCACCGAATAATTCCAAAATACAATTGAGCGACGGGTTAGAAGTAGACATTTCAAAAAATTCTATTTGTGAAATCTCAGCGAAATTGAAATGATTAAATGCAACGCTTCCTACCTTCAGCAGTCTTGTCTGAACTTCTTTAATCGAAATTAACGTAACAAAGGTTTGATGATATTAGATGGTCGTAGGCAATCGCCTTCGACCTAGATTTCGTGCTAGTTGGCACTCACCAGTCAGTAATCAGCAAGGCATATCTGCAAGCTTAGAGGAACTCCTATCCGTTCCGGGACTCGAACCCACGTCACCTAGTGCTGCAGTCAGAGACGTTACCACTGAGGTCAATTCTGGGCCCGAATAGCTCAGTGGTAACGTCTCTGACTGCAGCACTAGGTGACGTGGGTTCGAGTCTCAGAAGAGATAGGAGTTCCTCTAGGCTTGCAGATATGCCTTGCTGACTGGTGAGTGCCAAGAAGCACGAAAGCTAAGTTTCGTCAAGGCTTCCTGCCGATTACCACAAACCATCTAATATCATTAAATCAATGTTTACCGTGATGGCGAGCCACCTAGAATGGTGGCCACGTTGCAAACCTGAGTGATAGAATTCAGACTGCTCTTAACAAAGGACTAAATATATATCACACTAGTTACTACTGTTCAATCAAAATAACACAGGTTTATAAATAAAAGGACATCTCTTGTTTTTAAAATTCTGTCCAATCTTTTGAGTCATGATACAGGTATCAACATGCACTCATGATGTCTGTAGAATTGAGGGGACTATAAATGAAACAAAGTCTAATGCAAAATACCTCGGATTATATCTTCCGACCTTACCTGGTCATCTCATATCCAAATGATTTCCAAGAAAGTGTTTCGTCTAACCTACTACATTAAGAAACTCAGACTAACTGGAGTCCCTCAACCTCTGCTTTCACAATTTGTCAACTCTCGTATCCTACCTATTCTACTTTACTGTTCCCCGTTAGTCTTTCCTGGGTTACTGAAAAAGGATTATACCATCCTGAGAAGGATGTTGAAGGTAGTTAGTAGGACTAGCGGTGTAAAACTCAGTCAGCTCGTCACAACATTAGTGGATAAGCATCTGAATACATGTGAGAAATGGTCTAAAACCATACTCTCTGACCCCCAACACCCCCTCTATTCCCAACTCTCTCCCTGCATCTCATCAGGTAGAACCAGAAATCAGTACAAAATAATATATGCTCGTACAACCAAGTATAGGAACTCAACGATACCATATTTGGC